AACTCTATTCTAGCAGCTCACAAAGCAACTGTAGATAGAACGACCCACAACAATGCCTCCTAGGTAGAATCCCATCGTCACTATCATTTTAACATAATCCCTTGCGGGGTGGGGTCTGGGCAACTGAATGGAACTGTTTACTGGCCGGATGCCCTTCCTATCGCCAATGTGGAGTTTTGTTCAGCAGATACGTTCTCATTGTGCTGAAAGAGAGAAATATCCGCCTCTACCTAGGATCGAACTCACAGTCTCCTGATTGTGAGGTGAGAACGCCACCTCTAGGTCACCGTACCACTCTCCTAGATAGAATCCCACGAGGTGGACAAAATAGCAATAGCGCTTAGACTTATAGACCACTTCACAGTGCTTTTACAGCCCTCTCTAAGCGGTTTACAAAGTCAGCCTCTTGCCCCCCAACAATCTGGGTCCTCATTTTACCCACCTCAGATGGATGGAAGGCTGAGTCAACCTGGAGCCGGTCAGGATTGAACTCCTGGCAATGGGCAGAATTAGCCTGCAATGCTGCATTCTAACCACTCTTATGTCATCATGACTCTCAAAAGCTGTGCAACACGGCTTGTTATGCCCCACCACAGTTAGGTTTCCTTCTTCAGAAACTCCCAACACTTTTCCAATAGCTCCCTATTTTTGGACTATAAAACACTTGGCTCAACACCAGGCATCACGTTTTCCCCAGAATTTAGTGCCTAAAAATCTGAAATTTTGTCCCCTGTGGGCAAGCAAAGACAAGAGCACTGCAACTGACATCAGCAATAACTTTAATGTGATCGCTTCTCCTCTGGGTTGTTGATAAACAGCTGCAAAAGCAAAGAGTCCCCTATTTTAAGCAGAAAGGAGAGAGAGAAAAAGAGAGAGAAAGCAAAAAAAAAAAGTCTCTTCAAAATATAATAAATAAAATCTAACCAGCCATGAACAGGGAAGGAAAGGGGAATTAGACAATGTCTTAGAGAGACCAGAGTTAGGTGGATTGTATTCAAGCCTTTTGCCTCAGTTATATGCTAACAGTACAGACTGGACTAACTTGGAACCAACTTTGACCACACTTACAAGGGCAGAGGGAGGAGAAGGCACAAGAAAAGATCCAGGAGAAATTAGAAGTCCTCCCCTCATCCCTCTTTTTGTATAGGACTGCACTTCATATATGTAATTGGAAGTAAAACCCAGCTTGCCAGGGACCTACTTGAATAAGGCAGCAGAATGGGAAATCCAATTCTCAGGTCTGGGTAGGAGGGAAATGGAATGTCTCCAACACCTGAAAATCGTCCCCACTTCAATATCTGAATTTGAACCCAGCTGTTGAGATAGAACCAAGAGGGAACTGAATCTCAGGAATGCTTTTGGAACCATCATCAATAAATGAGACAAGTTGCTAAGGCAGACAGTCAAGAAACTGAAGAAAAGGTTTGTATCCTGCACCCAGTGAGGTGGGTGTAATTGCTGACAACTTTTCCAAGCCCTTTAAAAACGTATACAAAAGCCTAATCTTAAAATATCGCCCTCCGGTTAAAATACAATACAAAATGCAAGAAGTTGCAAAGATCTGTTAAAAACTACGCCTTTTCCCTCCCGTTCGCCCTTCTTTCATTTGTAAATGATAATAAAGTATTTGGTTGGAATGTTTTTTCAATGGTTAAATTAACATACTGTTTTATATCTTCATATAAGTCCATGATCTGTTCCAGTCACTGAGTATCCCACATTCCTGCAAGAGCTGTATTTTTCCAACCAAGCAGAGTCAGACTTAACATCTCCATTTATACATTTATTTATTTATCTTAATTTATCTTTTTCAAAAGGCTACTGGCGAACCGATGAAGCTTCGTGGTTGAGAAGTAAAACCTCTTCCTCAAGGAAAAAAAACAGGCCAGCCGCCTTTTGAAAAAGCACTTTTGAGACAACTATGACCTGAATTGACTGAGAATCTCCACAGATATTTATTTATCCAATTTATATGCTGCTCATCTCGTGCTCCGATGCTAAACCTGGTTACTTTTAACCTTGGTTTTGGCATCTTAGCAGGTGGGTTGAACTCTTATTAGGTTAGTTTATGGTTCAATTATTCTGTAAACTCAGAAAACAAGTTGCTGCAGTAACTATGTGAAGCACGTTGGGTCCATACAGGCAATAAATGCATTCTTGACTTCAGAAAAACTGTAGCTTAAACCGCCATCCTCCAATGAATGGGGAGTGTGGGAAAAATGAAAACTGTGATGGGGAAAAGGCAAGGATTGATACATAGGAAAAAGACATGAGCAGAACAGCATGTTTCTTAAATTCCTCTTGGTTCCCTTTGCTGCACAAGATCTACCGCAGTAACGGAGGAAACAGCGGAGCTGTGAAATGTAATGAAACAAAGATAGGTAAAATACACAGCTTGGAAGAAGCTGTTTCTTAATGCAACCTATCTTAGTGCAAACTGGAGTGTAATTTCTGCTCAGACCTCTCCAGTGAGGAATGCAACATTTAAATGGGGAGCATTTTAAGCACCCGGATTGTCTTTCTTTGGATTGGAAGCCCTTTTGGGAGAGACGCAAACAATCCTCCTCACAAACTAAGTTGCAGGATGCCTGGCTTGGAGCCCATTCAGTCTTTGTGGCAGCCTTCTAGAATCTATAGAAGCGTAAGCAGACAATTTTATTGCTCTTAACAATCCATTATTTTCTGTCTTTCCACGATCTCCAGTTAGACTAGATATAAGTACTGCAAGTATAGGCAGCGTTTGAAGCATGATGCAGTAAAGTCTGGAGGTGTTTTCTTATCACGATCACCTGATGGATAATGCTACCTTAACGCCTGAAAATCTGGCTCTGCCAACTGACTTACGGCCCCCCCGCTGCGGGCATCCGATTTTGGAAGTGGCTACTAGACAGACTAGTACAAGATCTCGCCTCCGTCCCATCTCTGCATTGGTTCTTTTTATCTAAGGTTACTTTTAATGTTTCAGCGTTTTAACGGTTGATGTTTTAATGTTCTAATCCTGTAATTGTTTTATTCAGTTATTTGTAACGTCGTAAGCTGCCCAGAGTCAGTTGTAGGGAGATGAGCAACATACAAATTTAATAAATAAATTAAAAATAATCGTAAGTACAACCCCCTGCAATTTGACACCGCTTCTGCACTCATTTGCTACGTTAAACCAAGGGCCCACTCTTCTACAAACCTGCATAGGAAGTTTTTTTAAACTAGGAAATTATGCTTTTCTTTCACTTTCTCTCTTTTAGAAACATCAAGGGGACTCTTTATGGAGGATTAACAATGCCAAGTGTCTTTCATTCTTGTACGCTTCTCCCTTCTCCATTGATTTATGAAGTAAGTAACTACAATTGAAAATAGAGGAAATGAAACGAAGCTCTGAAACTAGGATGTTCCCAACTCCTTAAGTTACATTAAATATTAGTTAAATATTCCAAGATTCCAAAAGTTAGAAAAAGTGCCAAAGAAGGAAAGGATAATATTACTCTTTAGAAATTATGATATGTTACCTTTGTTATCAGATCTGACAATACACAGACCCTATGTTACACACACACACACACAGAGAGAGAGAGAGAGAGAGAGAGAGAGAGAGAGAGAGAATCAGCACTTTTTAACTGTTCGACCTCTCTGACTCTCAGACTTGTTGTTTTTTTTAAGGTCAGTTTTAAGATAATTGTTTTGAGCCTCACAGTATTCGGAATAAAACTACAGGTTCTGCAGCTAAGAACAAGAAGTTTCAGATGTACTTTTTCTGCTCAATGCAGGAGGCAAAGATAAAAGAACGGATTGGCAAAATGATCCTTTTAAAGATGTCCCAGAAAAGTAGCAGTAACCACCCAGAATTCCTATTGAATCATTACAGAGAAAAAGGTCATGAAACATCTTGTTTAAATACAGAAGGTTGTTTCCCCAAATGTGCAGATCCTAAAACTCCAGATAAAAGAGGTGCTAACTAAGGCCTTTGGAGGAATAGGTGAGATTTTCTTAAGGCGGTCAAAGACAAATCTCCTGACCAGGCTGGCAAACCAAGGGAAATTTTCCTGCTCCTGCTCAAAACACTTGCTATATCGATGTGGTCTTGTGGACTTGATTAGCCCTCATTCCTTGAGAGGGACTGTGCCACAGATGATCTCTGCAGGTTCCCCATTCAACACAACGGCAAAGATCGGCCCAGCCGATGGTAGTTACTGGATGCGTGGTTTAGCTAACAACCCAACACAGCTATTTATTTCTTAATGGAGCTTGGCTAAGAAAAACCCTTTGGTTCCTCACACCGCCACAATGCTCGGTACAAAAAACCGCTTCTTCTGTCCCTGAGACACATCCGAAGACAGAAAAGTGAATTTTTGAGACTTCGCCACAAGGGGGCATGTTTGTGGCGTGTGGGGGGGGGTCTCACTCTTCCCTCATTAGCAAGCAAGTTATAAATGGAGGCAACCTGAGGTGATTCAAATGCCAGTGGGCTAAATTAATCCTTTGATCAACCCACTTCAGGGAAAGAGGACAATAGTCTAGGGAAGGCTGCGAGAGACGGCGAAACCTATTGTTCTCTCCGGCTAGGGCTCTCAAAATGCTCCCAACTGTTTTGTTTACTATTGGTAACCTTGATACCACGTTCCCTGGCTGCTGGGGGGGGGAGGGGGGGAGTTATTTTAAAACATTTTTGATCATTATCATTGGAGAAGAACATGTTTTCTCTATGTTAAGTTTATATATATATATATATATATGAGAGAGGTAACACTCCATGCTGCCTGCATGTAACTTGGTCGCTTCCGACAGAAAAAATTGAGGGTTAAGGTTTCTTCTTTGCCAATTTTTAAAACAGTTGGAAGGATTTAAAAGAAGGGAAGTGACAGCATCGCGGGAAATGCTTATTGATGCAAAAAAAATCCGACAGAGAACTTTTGAGGTTCTTTGAAAAGAAAAAAAGAGTCTTCACATAATAATGTGTTTCTACACACGGGGACAATGGCCAGGATACTGGAGTTTTCCTGATACAGCTCTCCTCACCTTGCAATCCCCAAACTGGCAGAAAAAACCCCCAAATCCCTAAGAAATCCAAGTGAAATCCTTGTCAGCCTCCCCGGGATTCTCTGGGGCAGAGTCAGCACCATCTTTGCCATTTTCCAAGATGGCCTCGTCTTGTGAAACCTCCGTCTCCTCTTTCCATTTCAGATCCTCTTCCTCCTCTTCGTCTCCTTCCGCCTTGAGGTCGTCGGGGTCTTCAGCGTAAGGGCCCTCGGCGCCGTACAATCCATCTGAGGACCCGTCCCGGACACCGGCCTCTAAGTGGCCAACCATGCCATGGCCAGAACAGTCCGTGCACACGCCGTGGCGACGGGAACCGTGCTTGATGCCCACGCTGGCGGCCGACATGAACACACGGCTGCACACTTTGCAGACGTATTTTTTGTCTTTGCTGTGAACCTGGAGGGAGGAAGACAAAAATTAAAGCAGGTAAATTAGCGGAGGAAAAATGCCAGGGTCTAATGTAGGTTATACAGGCGGTCCTCATCTTATGACAGTTTGTTTGTTGTACACTCTGTTATTCTGTTACTTAGTGACCGTTCGAAGTTACAGCATCACTGAAAAAAGTGACTTACGACCATCATGAGCCACGGTGGCGCAGTGATTAGAGTGCAGTACCGCTGCTGACTGCCGACTGCCTGCAATTTGGCAGTTCGAATCTCACCAGGCTCAAGTCTTGACTCAATCTTCCATCCTTCTAAGGTCGAGGAGCCAGATTGTTGGGGGCAACAGGCTGACTCTATAAACCGCTTAGAGAGGGCTGTAAAAGCACTGTGAAGTGGTATATAAGTCTAAGGGCTATTGCTATTTTCCACATTTACAACCGTTGCAGCATCCCCATGGTCATGTGGTTTACATCTGGATGCTTGACAACTGGTTGCAGTGTCCCAGGGTCACACGATCCTCCTTTGCGACTTTCTGACAAGCAAAGTCAATGAGAAAGATTCACTTAACAACGGTGTTACTAATTGAACAACTGCAGTGATTTGCTTAACGAATGTGGCAAGAAAAGTCATAAAATGGGGCAAAAGTCACGTAAATTGAGGGCTGTATCAAACCCTGGCTAGGTTCTTTTAAGTACTACAGAGATTAAATTGTGTTGGTTGGACTGTTCAAGTCTCCACACAATCACAAATCTCGCTAGGCAGACACTGTGCCAATCGTTCTCTCCCTGCCCAGAGCTTTTGTTGCGAGATATAACCGAAGGGGAGGGAAACTTTTATGTATATTGTTTTACGTGACCACAGATAAACACATGTTTATTTTGATTTAATTGCATTTTATTCTGCCTCCAAAGGCCCTGGTTATTATCTGCCCTATGCCATAAAAGCATAGCAAAGTACAAATTAAATAAAATATCTGTTATGTAATAACGGTGTTTTATCCCAACTTTCTTACTTTATAAGTAAGTCAAGGTGGTGAACATACAAAATACTCCTTGAGGGATCATGGTCCTGTCCAAGCTTGCTTGTTTTCTTGAAGACGTTTCATTACCCAAACTAGATAACATTATCAGTGCTAATAACAATATCACTAACACTGATGATGTTACCTAGTTTGGGTCATGAAACGTCTGCAAGAAAACAAGCAAACTCTGAGAGCACCAAGGACCCCACAGTTCTCCCCCCCCTTCCTCCTCCTTTCCCCACTCCCTTCTAGCACTGATGATGTTACCTATTTTGGGTAATGAGATGTCTGCAAGAAAACAAGCGAGCTCAGAGAGCACCAAGGGCCCCTAATGCCAACCCTGAGCTACAAATATTTTCCTTTATTAATAATACTCCTTCCTGCTCCTATTTTCCCCACACAAACAACCCCTATATATTTGAAAGGACATAAGCATACAAGCCTTTTCTCTTTTTTTGCATCTGTATGCAGATAGTTTTTATTTTTCATTATCAACTGATGATAACTTGTCCCTTGCCTTGCAAATTTTCCATCTTTTTAAACAAAACGTACCTGAAATTCAACCACTGAGGCGAGTTTAGTTTCAAGAAACAACAAAGAAGAGATTGGAGGCATATGTGTCTGTAGCTGAATTAATATCTCAGGCTACCAAAGCCCAACCCAATGGAGCTAATCAAGGGGCATCTTGGGAGCAATTGGTCCCATGTCCAGATGGCCGAAGCAGTCATCCGAATGGACAAGGATTCGTGGAGAAAAGGAAGGTGGCAGCAGGTTTTGGGTACTATGGCAACAGAGTGCAGTGGCCCTTAAACATTGCTGTTGAAGCAAGGCAAGCTAGCTGCCCATCTTTATCTGCAAAATGCCACCATTTGGCAAGACAAGATGCAACCTTGCACCTGTGGTAAGCAGACAGTAGCATACCAGCTGAGCATTGAATGTTTTCCCCATGGAAAGGAAGGCAGCCATTTCCAAAAGGCAACTGGGTGCAAGGCAGCCTGTCTGCAAAATATCCTGCCCCGATAGCCAGAGAACAGCTGGGAGGAAACAGGATTTCTTTCATGGATGCACTTCCTATGTTTGAATCTTGCTACAAAAGTCTTCGGAATGGTTTAAAAACCGATTCCATGTTACCTTAGACTGTCTACTATTGACTTCACCCCTTTCCTAAGAGGTCTGCAGGGGCGTGCATAAGCGCACCAACGTGCCTACCGTCCCTGTCCTATTGTTTCTTTTTATTTTTCTTATATGTATCCATTTCATGTATTCATAACTATGCTTATACTTATACCTGTTATCTTAAAATCGCTTGACAAATAAATAAATAAATATTTACTTCAATTCAATATTCAAACACATTTTTTTTTCTTTTCTCTTTTAAAAATCTGAAGTATTTGAAATATTCTGATGTCAGGAGGTCTAAGATTTCTTCAAATCATACTGGAGGAGTGTGTGGTGATGGATTAGGAAAGCACTGGTCAATTCATAAAGCACATTTAACTGGTTAATGATTTAACCTGGTTTTAAATCCAAACTGAATACACTGAATCATAAAGTAATCCAATGGATCGAATGGGCACAGTACACTATGCTACCAAAAACTATAACCAAGATTTAACACAAGGCTCCCCAAACTTGGCAACTTTTAAGACTTTTGGACTTCAGCTCCCAGAATTCTGGGAATTGAAGTCCACAAGTCTTAAAGTTGGCAAGTTTGGAGACTTCTGATTTAACATTAAACCTGCTAGGGCTTTCACTGGCTTGCTTCAATGTGTTGTGTGAATTGGACCAGAAGAGTTGGATCTAGAAGAATGCTACTGTTAAAATAGTACAAGAACTGACTTACAACTCTTCATTTAGTGATCGTTCAAAGTTACAGTGGCTCTGAAAAAAGTGACTTAGAACTGTTATTCCCATTTATGTGACCATGGCAGCATACCCATAGACACAGAATCAAAATTTGGGTCCTTGGATCAGGTGATCATCAACTACAACCTTCCTATCTGGCTTCCAAGAAGCAAAGTCAATGGGGGAAGCCAGATTCGCTTCACATCTGCAGTGATTCGCCTAACAACTGTGGCAAAAAAAGTCGTAAAATGGAGCAAAAACTCACTTAACAACTACCTGGCTTAGCAAAAATATATTTTGAGCTTAATTGTGGCCATAAGTCAAAGACTACCTGTAGTACAGTATCTTATCACCAGAGAACAGGCTGGTCGCTTCATTAGTCTTCCTGCCATAAGTTTCCCGTTTATTTATTTCCATTTATGGTTCATTTCTGAAAGTGACCGGAGGTATGTAGTTTTAGCTCACTCAAGAAAAAGAACTTGGAAAAAGTCACGCGTAATGCTATGAAAAGTAAATGCCATTATGATTACCATTAAAATAGAAAAGTGCTCTTGTAATATAAAGTAACATTTACATGCTAAGTGGCATTTAGCTACTTAAGTAATCTTTGGGGCATTACTTATCCCCAAAGCAATATTCTCTACCAACACATATATTTTACTGAATGCTGATCACATAATCTGGCAAAAAATACTGCTCTACTTTATAAACATTTTGATTTCCAACAACAAAACCAACTATTTGTCAGTTTGATAGGCTACGTGGCAAATAAGAAAGAACGCTGTTCACACATACCAGCAATGGATTTTAAAAACCTGCTTCTCAAAGTCAATATGTAGATTCTGTTCATATCAGACATGCATTGTTAATTTTATTTTACTCTTTAATTTGGCCTACAGCAGGCAAGAAGCCAGGAGACGGAGAGTTCTAGTCCCACTTTAGGCACAAAAGCCAGTTGGGTGACTTTGGGCCAATCACCAGGAGACGCTGAATTCTAGTCCTACCTTAGGCCTGAAAGCTGACTGGGTGACTTTG